TTACCATGGGATTCTCATAATAATATAAATAATATTTTTATATATATATATAAAATATATATATTATATAATATATATATATTATAATAATAATATAAAATTCTGATAAATACTCAACAATTTTATTAATAGCTTTGTGGTAGCAGTTAGGTAAAGCTACCAGCATACAACAGTTTGCCATATCACTTCTCTTTAAATTGATTAATTACTTTGACTACTTATTCTTCTGTCTCTGCCTGTCTGCTTTTCCCTCTGAAGAGTGTAAAATGACATTTGTGATTGCTGCAGTTGGAGAATGAGATTTTTATTAGGAAAGCAGTTGCTAGAGAAAAGATGTTAAAGAAAAATTTTGCTGGTTTCTTCCATTTTTAATAAAATAAAATTATCCCATTTTCCTTTAATCTTGACCTACCAACTGGCTGTTAAACACCTGCCAGGTGAAATGCTTTTTCCTTTTACAAGGAAAGGATTTCAACACTTAGTTCACCAATTCAGCTAATGTTTAATTCATTTCCTTGTCAGCTAGCTAGATTAAAAGAAAGAACATTTGTCAACAGGAGGGAGGCAACAAGAATCCAGCTTTGCTCTCCAGTCCTAATTTACAAGAGCACCAAGCTCCCATTTCTGGATAAAACATATCTTGGGAGGAGAGAGGCCAAAGTTGAGATGGCAAACCATAAAGAAGCTACTGGAACACAGACATCACTGATGATGGATCCTTTATGCAAAGTCAAATTTATGATCTAGTTAAAATGGAATATCCTGGCATCTAATGTCATCACAGCACTAATGAGATAGATCTGTTGCAGCAAACTGCCTTCTCCCGTGAAATACATGATTTTCTTTATTTCCTCTGCCTCAGCTTGCTTCTAGTTTTATGCCAGGCAGGGTGCAGGAGCTGAGAATGCTGCAGGTGAGGATTTTTCCCCAGGTGCTTTGCAGCATTTATGCATTCACTACCACTCTAAAACAGCATAAGGAATAGAAAACACAGCTCAGGAAAAAAATAAAAAAAAATGCAGACATAGGTGTTCTGCAAAGACCTACAGAGAAAGGAGAAGGGTAGAGAAAAAAAAAAATCTTTTATTTGTCAGACATTTGTATTTCTTTCTGAGTCATGAGAAAAGCAGTGATTAATCACAGGCAGATGTCATGGAACAAGACACATAGCACAAGTTGTATGTGAAATGTAGACATTACCAGTGGAATCACAAATCCCAGCTTTCCTAATTGGAGATCCCCTCCACCAAAATGCAGACTGTAGTGAAAACGCTCATTTTAAGATCCATGGCTTCCGTCGCAATAATTCAGAGTTTTGACAGCACCATAAAATGCTGAGAATATCTGGATTCTGGTTTATTCCTCATATGTCTAGCCTTTCCAAAAATACATTGATTTTTATAGGTATGACAAGCTGGTTCAATTCATCTCTTTGGGAAGCAATCTTTCATATCTGTACATGAATACTGGGAGATATTTTGAGCATACCAGAAAGGGTAACAAATGCAAACTGCTGTAGGCTCACATATCTGGCAGAATGACATCCAGGAAACTGCAGAAGTGCTGCAATCTCTACAATGTAATGACACCACATCAGATAATGTACCCACCTGATGGAAACTGCTAAAAATCATATAAAGGAGGCATAAGGGGAGAAAAAAATAAGCAAATATGTGCAGGGATAAATACAATGAGTGACCTTCTGTTTGCTTTCCTCTATTCCCCCCTCCCCAGCTGCTTTGATTTTAGTGTAGTCAAGTCTTTGTTGATATTGCAGCATGAAAATGAAATTGGAAGGGGGGGAGATTAACCCTAAGAGGAAAGAGGAACCTTTGCAGATGTCATTTATTTTGAGTTCTTCAAACTAATCCATTTGCAACTCAATCTTATCAAGAAACGAGAGAGGCTCCTTATTGCAGTGTTCCAGGGAAAAGGGAAAAATCCTAAACCAGCTCACATTGAGCAGTGTCTCAGCCAGAGGAATTCAAATACAGATTTTCCTCTCTGCATCCCCCTCAGCACTGTGGCTGCTTGCAGCTTGCACTCCAAGTGCTTCCAAAAGAGCCTTTGGATTCAACTAAAAATTAACATTTGAGCTCTAAATAAAAAAGAAGCCTGTGCACCCACCCAGATTCAACCTCTAGCAGAAGTTTGGAAGACAAATAGACAAATTAAAGAGCTCCTTTTAGTCTCTGGATTATAAATATCTTCCTGCACCTCTATGCTCCCCCAAAATTAGGCATAGACTAAAAAACCTTGTCTGTTCTGACCCCACACTTGCAGAATTTGCTGCTAATCTTCCCCCTACAGCAAGAGCAGATCTAAATCTGAAGCTTCATTATTTAATTATTTTCTAGCCCACAAGCACAGCCCTGAAAATGAAACATGAATATAAACCCAGGCAGTGGCATTTCCGAGATTGCAGCAGAACCGGGAAACGAGGCCGTGTTGTTGTAGATAATACAGAAACCAGTAGTAATGAACTTGTGAAATGCCAACCTGGATCTCAGTTTCTATTTCATTAAGAGCAGTTGAGCCACATGACTGTTCATGGGCTTCTTGGAGGTGCTAAATCTAAAAAGGAAGGATGGTAGTGAAATGTGAGCTTTGCCACAGCATCGTGGATAGCCTGTCCCCACAAAAGAGCACCAGGAAAATGCTGATCCAGGATTTCTCCATGAGGGACAGCCCTAAGCTCCCTCTCTCCAGGTTTTTCTCATGGTTTTATAGGAGTCAGCAATGCATCATCAACAAGTAAAAACCCTCAGAGTGTTGACACTTGAAATTATGAAATCACGACATCCAGAGTGGAACTGAACACTCAGGTATCTCACAGGACCCTCTCCTACACAATTCCCCTCCACCTTCCCTCCTATTTAAGGCAAAAAAAAAAACCCAGCTGGCAATTTTCCACAGCTGAAAACCACACAATAAAGGCACCTTTATGCAGGTCTTGAGTCCAGGGAGGTGATTTCTCCCTTTCCTATCAGAATGCAGCAGCATTAAAAACAATGGTTAATGGGGCTGATATTCCACTGACAACCAAGCAGGTCTTAATTGCTGCAAGGGCAATTTCTGCCAGCTTTTCACAACCAGGGCTGCTTCTGGCAACTTCACTAAGCTTATTTTTACAATACATCATTCACCTGTCTACCATCAGCTCCTCCTGTAATGAAATGCCCTCCCAAATATTGGCTCATCAAAGAACATTAAGGGCATCCATACACTGAATCTCATGGTCATTCCCATTTGTCCTGAAAAATTATAAACATCAGGAGCTATCTGTGATCATTCAAAGAGGATGTTAGGTTTAATTTTAGCTCTTTTCTTTTCTTACAGGAGAGGAAAATTGATATTTTTTAAATAAATTATACTAATAAACAAACTTTAGAAGAAAAGGTTGAGCATCTGGTTTACCTCTGCCCACTGATAATGGCAAACCTGAAGCAGCAGTAAACCAGGAGTAACATTTTCTGCCTAAGCTCAGGATTTTTCTTCTCCTCTGTAAGCACCAACCTCGTGTCATTTTGAATGATAGTCCTTTTTGTCTATTTTCCCCTCCAATCTAATACCTGTCACAACCATCACAGCACCAAGAGCCTTCTCATAGGCTTTAGTTAACCCACTGATCCATGGAAAAGCAGAACCTGCAGCCTGCAGAAGCCTTTCCTTCCTGAAACCTGTATTTGCTTATAGCTTGCCCTTAAAAGCTTAGGTTTGTGCATATTTTGGATCCTCCACTTGCTTTACCTTTTGACGAAGGCAAAAAAAAAATAAATGAAACAGAAACTCAGCTGAGGTACTGGGATAACAACATCTAAATTTTAACAGTGTTGAGTGATAAAATATCCCTGGAGATTGGAGATGGTGGAGGGAGGACTCAAAAGCATATCAAATTAAACATCTTCTAGTCCTCAGGGGCACAGTCAGAGGGGGGAGGGAGAAGCTGTCATCTCATTTCTCCAGTCAGTGCTTCCTGCAGATGCAGGTTAGGAAGCAGACCTTCTGAGGAGAGCAGGCATCCATTTCTTGAAATGCTCTTCCCCCAGATTCATCTGCCCTCTCTTTCTTAGTGTTTTTCATCAGCATTTCTTCCATTTTCATCATTTTATGAGACTGATGTTTTGTGGGTTTCTTTTTTTGTTGTTTTTAATGACGTTCTCTGAAATATTAATTCAAATATTTCCCAGGAAAAAAAAACCCAAATAATTAAGGATAACTCTTTTATGCCTCTTTTTTTTTTGATTACTTTTTTAATTTCAAATAAACCATTTAATTCCTCCAATCATTAATGAAAATTAAATTTTAAAAATAAAAGCAATGGAGGCCTCGGAACCTATCAATAATTAATTAGGGAATTAAACTGATCAGCTAGGGACACGTGACAGCACAGGTGTCCTACATTGGTGATCTGTCACATACTGACACCTCAAGCCATGTGTGGGCAGCTCTGAGGGGTGGAGAAAACAGGTTCAGCTCCCAATTATGGGGCTGCAGGACAGCTACAGGTTATAGATTGGCTGCTTGTTAATTAAGTGGCAAAATGCAATTTCAGCCTTTGCCCAGCTTTGTACTGCATGACCTTCCTTTTTCCTCCCTCTCTGGAAAATAAAATTAGTTCCCCTGGCAAGTGACACCGCTCACCTCCTCTAGGTTCTTCCCATCAACTTGATGTAGTGTTTTTCACTGCACTGTGACCACCCTCCAAACCTTTCAGCAATGAAATAACCACACAACTGATTTAATTTTTTTTATTTTTTTTTTTTAAGGCACTGAATGCAATGAAGCTTTCAGATTTTTTTTTCCAGCTGCTCTGAGTTGCTGCAACACCAGTAATGTCCCTGTTTGTAACCCTTCCCAGGGATGTGCAGAATTCACTGCTCCTCCAGCATTCCCCAAGTGCACAGCTGGCACTGGGAGCAACGGGATTCCTAGAGAACACAGTGATGCATTAGGGTTTTATCTTCTATGCTTTTCATATATTTGTAATCCTGCAATTCTTTAGTGGATAACTCTAAACTCCATATTCAGTGCAAGCTGTTCTCATTTTAGTCAGACACAATTCCTCTCCAGGCCTGGGAATCAAGGGCACCTCACTGTCCCAGGCCCTGAGAAATGTAAACAAAAGTGAGTTGGGGGTGGGAAAACTTGGGGTAAATGACTTCGTTACCTGAAGCTGGAATTGGAAGATTCACCCCCAAAATGCAAATGGACCAAATTTACAAGTGTGAAAACCCATGACCCATGGTCCATTTTGGGTGCAGCCCCTGGTGGGGGCTTTGTGTGCCCAAAATGTACCTGAAGGCCCTCCAATAAATAGAACTGCTTTTTATTCCATAAATTTTGTCTGGCCTCTGCTTTTAGGTAGAAAAAGCATCAACAGCTGTGTGGAGAGAGAGATTAAGTACAACTGGGGAAGAAGGCAAAGGCAGAAAACATTAAGATCCATTAATGGCTGCTCCGTTGCGCAGGCCCCAGGAAGGCCTCGGCGGCGCCGGAGCACGGCACCCGCTGCAGCCTGGGGAACACGGCTCAGTCACCTTGGGAGCAGCGGCTGTGGGAGCAGGGGTGAGTGGAAGAGACAGGCACAGGGGAGGCTGAAGGAGTTTTGGGCACTCCTCAGAGGTCGGGTTTGTGATTTTTGCCAGTGGTGGCTCTGGACCGGCGCCAGGCGATGAGTCAGTGTTTGTCACTGACGGGGTTCTGCAGCGGGGAGATCTGCAGCACTCTGACAGCCTGTCACCACCAGCCAAGCAGGATGGCACTGCGGAGTTAATAAGTCTGGGAGACCGTAAACACAAAGAAACCAGAAATAAAAAGGCCAATGAGAAATGCGAAGTGATAAACAACAAATAACACGGCACAAAAATAGCGTTGCTGCACCTTAAACTAGATTTGTTCTAAGGGTTGGGTTTTGGTTGGGTTTTTTTTTTCAAACTTTACAAGCCTGTATGCTAGGGAAAATCCTTAAAATTACTCTCAGACACCCAAAAAACTAAATATAACCACACACATAGCCCAGTGGCATGAGGCACTCACTCCTGCCTATGCCAACAGTGAGATTTACAAAGCAGCTCGTTCAGCCCGGTAACAGCATGGGACATCCCCCACACTGGGTTTTCCTCTCCAGGGATGGAAAGTCTCCTTCATAGACAGTGACACCCTTGCAGGATGCCTGCAGCCCATCTGGAAAGGGCACAGCAGCTGTTAGGCTCAAAGAATCCCAGAGTCATTGAGGTTGGAAGAGACCTTCAAAATTATAGAGTCCAACCTGTGCCTGATGCTCACCTTGTCACCCAACCTTGGACACCTCCAGGGATGGGGACTCCAAATGTCTCTGGGCAGCCCCTTCCAGCGCTTGTCAACACAAAGAAATTCCTCCTGATGTGCAGCCTGAACATCCCCTGGTGCAGCTTGATGCCATTTCCTTTTGCACTGTCCCTTATTCCCTGGGAGAAGCCAGGAGAACACCCTTGGCTGGCTGCAAGTTGAGCTGGCCAAAGTGTGCACAGGTAAACAAAACCAGCTCTAGACCAGAATGTCCCAGAAGAAAACTGGATCTCTCTTTTTCCTAAATAAACTGGTACAGTTCTGAATTGGGTGAGAGAAGACAGGGAAGGACAGCAGGGTAGGACCTTGCTAGAAGGGCATTGATGCAGGAGGAAATTGAGGAAGCAGACATTGGTAGGAAGTAGAAACTGGAACCTGTCCTGACAGCCTGGATTTATTGTTTTTTTACCAAGTGCTCTGTTGAGCTGGGCATTCTTGATGTACACTACAGGCAGAGAGTGACATTAACTCCACTGCTCAGTGCTGGCCCTGCTCAGAGGCCACATTCACATGTCCTCTGCTCCCTTGGGCAGCCTGGCCCTTCTGAGCCTTCCTCTGCACTCCTGGAAGCACAATGCCTATCCCATGCTATGTTCCTGTTGTTTCTAACAGCAGAGCTCTTGGCAAGGCATCACCATTTCTTTATTTCATTTTTAGTTTGTTTGGTAAAAGAGGGTGGAACATGGCAAACACTGAAAAGAGAATTGTCCGGAATTTCAAACTTTTTTTTTTTTTTTTTCCAGCACTCTTCATCTGTTTAAGGATTCAGAAGTGAGTAAAAGCCTCCATTTAATGAGTAAATCAGAGTGCATCCTTTGGCCCCTGGCAAAACGAGGCAGTTTGAATGCTTAGTCTGCGTGGGTTTGGTTTCCTACTGCTTCCTCTGCAACTCAATGCTCACAGATGCAGCATCTCTTCCCTACCTTCTTTGCCCAAACTGCTTTTAACCCAGTAACCTCTTTTCTTCTTCCTTTGACTGCCTCCACAGCCAGATTCTTTTTAGCTTTGGATGCACCCACATTCTATGGATGTCCAGAAAAAATTAACCAATTAAGTCATCCAAAGCCCCCAGCACAGTTAACATTCATTTAGAGCATGAAAAGAGCAACACACCTTCGTGGGGCTTTGCCAATTACATGGTGTTTCAGCCAAATGCAAATCATGCCAGAATGAAAATTCCAAACTGTGCATTATGTTCGTTTCCAAACCCTGTTAACTTAATTAACTCTTGGTTAAACGTGCACTGATCTCAGATGTAAAGCATGTTTGATGAGGCATTTTTCATTAGGCAAAAGAAAGAAACTGGAATGTGCAAACCATTTGCAACAAGAGAGAAGACTCCCTCAAATTGTATACAACTCACACCCAATTTGTGGTCAGTGAAGGTTTATTTTCTACTTGTAATGCTTTCCTACTTTGTAATGCTCTTGTCAGTTTTACTTGGATCACAAAGCATCATTTGAGCAACTCTATCAAATGTGGAGGATAGATAATATTCTGCACTGTCAGTACTATTTAAAATGCAAGAGCAGGTAATATGAAAAATGATTAAACTACCCAGGTTGTATTTAACCTGTGTTGCCACTGCTAAATCCACACACCAAGTGTTTGGGGCAATTATTGGAGGCAGAACTCCAGATCCTCAGATCCTGTACCCAGCAGGAAGACAGCCATTTCTAAAAATAAATAAATATCAGGGAAGGGGCTTATCATTCTTAGCAGAGCTGTGGCATTTTTTAGTGAACACAGATCCACACCAGAAATATGTGTAAGAAAATGCACTTCACTAGCTGCTAAAAACTTTCTTGTTTGTAAATTGATTAAGGATATCAAAATATCTCAGGATATGTTCCTGGTTTTGTTTGAGAAAAGGAAGGAGAGAGGGAGGGAGGGAGAGAG